ATAATAAATAATTTAAGAAACCAATAGAAGAGGAAACTTATCTAATATATTATTCTAAACATGAAAGCATGTTATTAGAAAATAGGTTGTTTATTTTAATAGATATTAAATAATTATCCAATAATTAAATTCATTTTCCGTTCGATATATTCATATAAGAGCACATTTTATGATGAAATCGGAAAGTTAATCGATTCGTGACACCCGGCGTAATTCGTCCCAAGTCAAACCACTCGAGTTATCCTGAACCCAGGCAATCTCCTTCGCCGCATAACCCGATAAATCTAATTACCTTCGTGGCTGCCAATAATTTCACCGCCTATGCATGCACCTAGATATCTTCACACAGTCATGCACCAGCACTCACATGTAGGTGAAGATGTCTATAGAATACGAGAGCCGGAACGACATATTTGGGACACCACGAAAGCCAACCGTCGAGGTACCAACGATACCATCTGGCATATCCGTGGTTCTCCATAGATTCTTAGACCACCATGTCCTGGTGATTCCTTATTCCATCCTGATAACGAACATTCAATCTATTTATTTAACCAACAAATAATTTATTGCTCTTCATTAATACAACTAAAGATATTTCCAACTTTCTTGTGCTAAATAAATATTTAAGAAAGACTTCATTTATTAATAGTCTAATTAATTTATGCTGATAAAACAATGAAATTAAAAACACTCGAATAATAATGAAATATAACACTTTTTATGCTAATTAACTTTCATTGATGATAAAATGTATTTTCTTGTCAACTAAAGCAATATGTTAATAATGATTTATGCTCTTTTCATAGCTCTTTCAATTAATATACACGGTCTGTTAATGACTCACAGTACTTTAAGTAATGAAAAGTGTGCAGTCTGAGTCAAGTAGAGAACCTGATGCTTGTCAAATACTTAATCAAAATTAATGAATGAGTCTTCTTTTTCTCTGGATATTACGTATTCATTTAAGTAGATGTAATTCAGTTACTTGTTTATTTATGCCCTTATTATAAAATAATATCTAACATTCTAAATGGGGTGTACTGAGGGTAGGTAATGGCTGTTATGTAAGAAGATGTGTGAGGTGTTTTATTTCCTGAGCGATTATAAATGATGTATGAAGTTACTTGATAATATATTCTCTCAAGGATTATAATGATTAGTTTCAAAGAGTTCGTTATTGAGATATAATCCTCATGTCTACATGACTATGGGTTATCGGACAGTTTGTATGCGGTTTTCAAGAGTTTAGTGTACTTAGAAATTCTTCGGCCTTAACCCAAGTCACGTGCAACATTAAAGCACATCCTCAACACCATAAATGTGTTCGTGCTTGCGGTCAAGACAACACGAATTGTGAATACTCATTTGGTCCCATTTTTATCGTCAAAAATTCATGAATTTGAATATACTTTTTTTTGCTTTCTATTTGTATGACACGAGAATGTAAAATAAATAATTTAGAGAACAAGAAAAATTTTAGTGCGATAGAAAATTTATTTCTTACTCTCATTAGACACAAATGTTCAACTACTATTTTTCGCCTACGAGTATTTAAAGAATTAACTTTGGTAAAATATATTTTATTTTTCAAGTTATTATATTTACCAGGAGGTCATTTAGTCATAAATTATATAGGACTTGAGTGTCAGAAGAGTTTTTATTTTCGTACCTAATAGTTAAGTTAGAGAAAAAAAAAATAACAACACGACAACGCAAAAAAAGGCAAATTAAAACGAAAAATATGTGCTTTTAAATACCTTACTGAGATTTATTTGTTAATCTCCTTTTTAATTCTGTAGAGGCTTCAAAAATAAAATAATAGCGGCATTTTTTTTAGTTTTTTTTTCTTTCAATTTTTTATACCTAAAACAAATAACGAAGTGTAGTTGGTATTTTTTGTGACAAAAATTCCGATAGAAACTTCAATAGAAGATAATTCTTGAAATTTTTCTAGTGAAGTTAGTCTCAAGAGTGATATCGATTGAATTTTAAAAATTTATTTAAAGGCATAAAAAAGTTGATTATACATACAAAAAGATACTTTTTAATTAACTAAAATCTCTGATACATATAATAAAAATGTAGGAGCTTGTTCACCCCGAATTAATGACTTGAGAGGTGGTTAAGTGCTCGATATTTTCCACCCTGACACAAATAAAGTCGGAGAAGGTGAGAGTGAGAAAAAGAACAAAGAAGACAGGTGACTAGAAAAAGAAAGCGCGTTAGCGTGCAACCGGTTGTCGTTATAGACGAGGTAAAATGGAGCGGAAGGGTCAGTCCCTAGAGGTAAAAGAAAACTTCCTAAGTGCTTAACGAATCACATTGCTTTGCAAATTGAACCATTTGGGACCGATTCTCTGCAATTTTTGTTCCATTGTCTAAAGTTATTTTTATACTCATTCACGTACAAAAGTGAAAGAAAAAGGATCTTAAATGATTTTTATAGAATAACGATCCCAGAAATTAGAATCAATTTTTCATAGCTATTAATTCTCTTTATTATCTTGAGTTTCATTTTACTTTATTATATTCTATTGCCTTCATTATTTTATTTCTCATATTCCACAAGCTGTTTTATTTGTTTCTTCTATTCTATCACTTTTTTCATTTTTTTCCACTCGTATTCTTGTCAGAGTCTTTTCCTCGGGCAACTAAATCCAATGAAGCTTCAAGTACATGAAAAACCTTTACGCCGTTAATCTATTCGCTTACTGACTAAATTATCTTAAAATTATGAGACTTTCATAAACCAAGTACTAATGAAGAAACTAGTGCCTCGTGGTCGCTTAAAATTATTTTTATAGCCATGTTGTTGATGTTGTTCTATCGATTAAAAACAGCAGATGTTTTTAAATAGTAACGTTTAAATTAATATTGGATATTAATGAAGGAAAAATGCAATTATTACGTGTGACACTGATATTCATGATGAAATTACTTTAATGAATTCATGCTCACCATTGATAATGTTAATTATTTCAAATGCTCATGAAAGAATTGATAGGTCACACGTCAACGTCAACGTCAATAAGCAATAACCCATGGATTACTACTATTCCTAATAGGTTTGCGCGGACATTTATAGGTATATAATTAACCTGATCGGGCGTGTGATACGTGATATTAGCAGTAATTGTAATTACTCCAATTAGTAGTAGTGACTTTTACATGAAGCTAAATAATATTAATTGATGCTTCAGTGATATCGCATTGTGTTTTATTTATTATTAAAATTTTTTTCCAGAGAAAATTTGAATTTTTACATTGGAATTTTTTTTTTTTTTTGTGAAAGTAATATAATGAAATATATGAATTGAAATTTATTTTTATGACAACTAGATAAACGAAAATAAGAGACATTATTAATATATGTAATTTTATTTCTCCACATGAGATTAAAATGTGATTTATATTTAATAATAAACATCATCCTATGTTTAATGTATTAACACTTGATAAATCTCTGGATTTTACCATTTTATTGTTTATTATTAATTAAATCGTTATTATTTATTGCAGCTACATTATAGAAGATATTATTGAGATTTAAAAATCGGGGAATTGATTTATTAATTTATTTTTGTTCCTTACAAACAATTGTTTACATGGATTTTAAATGCTCCATTGATTTAGAGTTAATGCAATATTCTGTTTCAGTTTCTCGTGATAGGCTATTTATATTTTACACGTTTTATATCTGTCCATTTTTATAAAAATTCAGTAACAAGTTTTCGATTTTATGTAAAGTAAAATCACCGATCCGGATTGTTGTGGACATGAAAATATGAAAAAAATATGGATGATATAAATTACTCTGTTATAAATGAATGTAACATTTCATTGAATTAAAATGTCTATTGTTTACTAACAAAAATTCTTTCATATTTCCATTAAAAGTTTTATTCACTTGCATTAATCGGTTCATAAAGTTTATTGATAATTAAAAAATTTCTCTCTTGTTTTACATTAAATGGAAATATTATGCAGATTAATTTATGATATCAATTCAAATGTTTTATTTAATAATAAAATCTATCAATAATTCTTTCACTCATCAATTTAGAGAATATATCTTTTGAAGTTTGTTTCAATAGATATTTTATTTTAATATGGTATAAATTTATTTCTACTGCATTGTTGTAATTTTAATTATAATTGTGAACATATATTTGTCTTCATTGCCATTGATTTTTAATTCTTATTAGACCACTGAATTATTAGAGCCGTTGACTATTACTTCTATTCGATTCCTGTGGCATTAGCAAATGGTCAAATATATAAATCAATGTCCTTTTATACGTTAGTTGTTATGATCTCGTGTTGTATGCACAGACACTGCAGCCATATCGTACCCATGTGCATATCTATTACGATTCCTATTATTAGAAGAGAGGCAGTAGTATAGCTTCTATGCCAAAATGCGTTAATGGTGCTCGAAAATGAAATTAACACCGACAGTATGAGTAGACAAGGAGAAAAGGGGTGGTATATCGATCGAAAATGACACTCCTATGAATAAAAAAAAATCTACATTCCTCTTGCCAAGAATTTTTGCTGGTTTTTATTCTTTTTCTGTACACTTTGCTGAACTCTTTTCTTTTCAGTTAAATATACTAATTCGAAAAATACTAAAGTATTTCAAAAGACCGCAAGATCATTTTTTTTCTTAGTTTTTTTTCTCTGAATAAATGTGAAAAAAGTATTTAATAATTTTCTTTTTCGTACGTTAAATAAGTGAAATAAAAATAAGTGTGACTTAAATAAATTAGTTAGAATTTTTCAACGGCTCGATGAACATTTAGAATTCTTCTCGGCATAAATTCATTATTGCATATAAAATTTCATTTTATCCAATTTTATAGCTTATATGTGGTAAAAAAAAAATTATCCAACTTTTTAAAAATTTATTTTTGTTATATCAAGCTACAATTTTACAATGATATTCATATTTCAGCTTTTTAAAAATAAATTTTGATGAAATTTTTTTCGTGTTACAGGAATGGACGGATTACAATCTACAGTGGAACGAGAGTGAATACGGTGGTGTGAAGGACCTGAGAATCACACCGAATAAGCTTTGGAAACCGGACGTCCTTATGTACAACAGGTAACTCGTATTCTAATTATACCGGACGGTAGACGAGTCAATTCCTAACCCACGTAATGTAGATTCAGTCCAGTCGGTTACCCTCGATAAATTGTTTAAAGCAAAATCGAGTTGACTCATTCTTGATTCCACTTCAAACGATTTGTGTACTGCGAAACAACCACGCGGAAAGAGTTTTGACGTTTTAAAAAATAAATTCGATGCCAAACAATTTATTTAATTATCCAAATCAACTCTTGGTTGAGTTTATTTTATTAATTCGTTAAATGAGTTGTCCGTAATCAATACTAATGTGTCAACCTAATAAGAATAACGTAGGAAAGAATATAAAAGAAAAAAAGAAAAATTTGAAATCGTCAATTTGTTTCTTAGTTTGTTGATTTTTAAACACAAATTGAATTTATTTATTTCCGGTGTGAATTCATGCAAATTTTCCAGCCTTGCTCAGTTTTAATTGTAATTCGAGTATTCTATGACTACTGAATGAGACAGCAAATCTCCAATGAAATCATAAAAAATCCAATTAATTAGTCGGAGTATGACATCCCGGACTCTTGATACGAGATTCGAATTCTCTCTTGCATTTCGTTCGCTTCTATATTTCTCAGACTGCCGTAGTAGTTATTTTTCATTCATTAGACATTTTTTTACCCCTCTATTTATCTCACTTTATCAGAATATCATGTCACGGGAATACTCAATTATTTTAAACTTAAAATTAAAATCAAATTTATGGCAAAAAAATTTTTTTTTCTTTTCCATTAATAAGCATGGAGATTATTTTTATTAGAGGTAAATTATAAATATTAATTTAAAATCTCCCTCATTACACAAAATATTTTTAAAATAATCTCTAATTAAATATTAAACTCGTAGGAGGTAAAAAATAATGAAATATAAATTTTAATAGCATGGAGTATTGATTAATGGCTGAATGTGAAAAATTTTTCACCATTAAATGCTGGCTTTGGAAAAGAGTTGAATGAAATATAAAATAAATTCTACATAAATAAAGATTTCCGACTTTGTATAGGCAATGTATATATAAAAATAAATAAAAATATTCCTCCGATGCCATAAAATAAATATAAGCTCCTCGAGAAAAATGAAAGATAGAAAATTGAACAAAATACAAGAGAGAAGGAAAATCCAAGTAATCTTAAACGTAATCCGTAATCGTAGACTACGATCTACGAGAATTAAGTCTTCGGTAACGAAATAAATTTACGGATTTAGTGTAATCGACTGGAATTAAAATAATCGACTTCAAGTTCTATAGTTTAGAAGTTAAAAGTGCAATTGGATCTCAGATTGTTGCAAAAAAAAAAAAATCGCAAATAGTTTAAGGATTTAGATTGTTTCAGAAAGCAGCCAACCAGATATCCATGATCTAGATAATATTTAACTAAATTCTTTTGTTTTTCGTGTCTACTATTATTATTATCATTGTTACTATTTTATTATCTTTATTTCATTTCCACTAAAAATGTAGTTACTTCAGTTATCAATTACCTATCGACAATCTTTCGAGTTTATTTTATTCCGGAAAAATACAAACGTAGAATCGCAAGGGTACGTAAAAATTTTTCCAGTGTTGCTTCGCATCTTACTAACACTATTATTACTATACTATTCTCTAAAAGTAATATCGAGTATACTCGGTTGTGCATGTGGTTATACTTAACATATCCCTCTACTAGTAATTAAGTAATAAGTAAAGTAATTATTCTTTTTTATTACAGTATTTATTATTGTAATCATATATTTTTAATAATCTCTATCTATCTCTGATTACTTATAATTTTTTTTTTTGTAAATAAGTATATTTAAGTAATTATAGAACCCTACTATTTTTAATAGACATTATTTATTGAGATTCGTAAAAGTTTTCTGCTACTTGTCATACTCATTTTTGAGTTGAGAAAAAAAAAATAAATAAATTATTATAAAATAAAGTATACTTTCAAGTAAAACTCTAAAGTAGATTTAAAAATAATTGATCGTTTTCTTAGTTGGCAAACTGCGTAGTGAAAATGACGACGTGACGGCAGACTTTTACGAAAGCTCGTGACTTGAATTTAGAACGCATTGTACAAAGTAACGAAAGTTTCAAAGCCACGATGGCCTAATTACTTAAATAAGAGGGTTTTAACCACAAATTTTTTCACATTGAAGTAGCCTCATTTTTTTTATTATTTATGATTTTTATTTTTTTTTATATCTTAAAAAAAAATAATAAAGTGGCCATCGTAGTTTATAATTTATCTCTTCTAGGAACTTCTTAACTAAATCATTAACTCAAATAAATAATAAAAATAACCACTCAATTATCATCTGAGCGTTCAGATATAGATAAACAGGAATACATGAATGAATAACAGAAAATAAGAAAAAAAGAATAATTCCGCTTTGAATCATATCTGAACGTTCTTCATAATTATTCTGCCATTCTCACTTCTGTATCGCTTCACGATAATGTACCACATCGCAATTCTACTCACATCCGTTGGATGAAGTGAGCTTTACTAGGCTTCCACAATTACGGCGTCCGGGAACCGCGGTGAATTGTCGAACGCATTCACTCTCTCTGTGCCAGACTATTTCTGTAGTGACTTAATTAGAGGGTAGAGTTAAACAAAGCGACAAATTTGACAAACACTAGAGATGTACAATTTTTATATATATTTTATTCAAATGATCAAATCACTCTGACAATATTATTAATCCACACTTTGAAGATGTTAGATGCATTGGAAAATTATCAGCAGATTTGCCTTACCAGCCTCTAAATTTATAATATTTGACAGGCGATGATGAAAGGAAACCCATTAAAGTCGAGTTATACGATTTGATATTACGATCAATGCTGTTACAGAGTCAGCTTATTTGATAGTTTGATTCTCTTTGAACATCAAACGAAATGCTACGTCTTTTAAATATATTCATATCTTTCTGACTATTGACTCCAATTAATTGGGTAATTAATTATTCATTATTTATTAGTTCATTACTCGCATGATGAGCATTATCGAGTGTCATTTTAATCGTTAATGAGTATCTAATTATTATTTTTTATATATCAATCACTTATGAATATTTTCATTACAACTATTTATGATGTTTAGAACAAAAACATTTTAATAACAAAGAATATCTCTTGCTTGAAATAATTATGAAGGTATTTTTTTTAGTAATGATAATGGAATAAGCTTTTACAAAAGAATAAAAATAATAATAATAGTTTAAAGCTAATTCACGTGTAGATTTACATACGATGTAATGTTAATTCCCGTCTGTATACATATTACAACACCAGCTAATACAGTACAGCCCAGTATAGTTTGCATTTCAAGTGTAATCGCTTTCAAGGCAAGCTCGTTGAAGAGATATATATCGTCAGTCCTGTATTTCTGTTGTTCAACAGCCATCTAAGTTGGCACGAGCGAAAGACCAGCTCAACTACGCTCGACAGAATACCTACTCCGACTACTTGGTTCAACTTCCTCTTGATCCTCTGTCTCATCCATTTCCATCTTCATCCTCGACCTCATTTTCTTTCTACAGAGTCCAACAAAGTATACGAGATCGCTTCAATTAATTAGAGACTCGTCTGCCGAAACTTAGTCCCGAAACTGTGGTCAGACAATGATCCATCTGACTTCTGGGAATTTTAGGTCTATGAATCTACCGAGATACAAGCTTTTCTTTTGGGAAGAATCCATTTTATGATTCACTGTAATTAATGAATTAGAGTTGGCCATTAAATTAAGAGATATTTTTATTTTTACATTAAGTAAAGTAATGAATTTTTTTTTATAAAGTTATATTAAAAATATCCATCAGTAAAGTCTTATTGTTGTCATTTATATTTTAAATCCGATGATGAGAAATTTTTTTGTTGAATGAATAAAATTACTTCAAAGTGTTTTTATATGCTTCTTGAGAAAGTAATGTAGCCGTTAATAATTACAGTTGAGGAAATATACTACAGAAGTTACAAAGCAGAAACAATTACTGACTTTAATGTAAAAATAATCCAATTTCTTTCCCTCAAAGTGTTGAATTGTAAAATTAGATAAATAATTTAAATACATATTATTTAGACATGAAAATAAAAAATACAGAGATTGAAAAAATTTAAGTTTGTAACGTAAAATGATATTATTTGTAAAATATGTAAAATGTATATTTACATGATGTGCTAGACATTATCTATGAACTGTAAAATTTGCACAAGATGAAGTAATATGTAAATTTATCAAAACAGATTGAAGTTATGTTTCTGAGTAAACTATGCGAGCATTTCAAGCACGTAATATCAAATGTCTCTTCCTTATTCACTATGTCTTTCAGTTTACAATATATACCAATAGACAAAATAGACGTACATCCAGGTTGTCTAGCCGCACGTAAATTTGATCTTGCCACCGTTAGCGAGCGACAGCAGTGTCAGCATAGTCATGCATTCGTATTCCTTCAAACAGATTGGCATATATGTGTAGCAATCAACTACTCAAATTCTCACATAACTGCATCGTTTTATTGTTTCATTTAATTTACATCAGGTAATATTTCTTTAGTTATTCATGCACTCACGTAAATAAATAGCCGTATGTAGAAACACCAAACTGCAATAAAAAGGAAATTAAATTTTCTGTAAAAATGGTTATTAAATCTTCATTCCAAACGAGCTTCAACATGATAACCTTTGAATTATTTATCAGTATCCATAAATTTTATTAAAACTGAATAATTTATATTTCGAGAGCAGAATAAATATTTGAAAAATTAATTTAATAATTAAATATCATAGAAATTAATTTTATTAAAATTATTTTCAATATTATTTTTGAAATAGAAATAAAATTATTATAATTTTTTACTAATAATTTTTCATTACAGTAAAATTAACAATTAATTAGATTTTATTAAAAGCAATTAAAGAAGATGAAAAAATCTAGATGATAACTAATTAGAGGATTATTTAAAAATTTAACTGATGACAACAATAAAGTAAAAAATGAGACTCTAACCCAGATAATTTTTCACAACAATTTAGTCTGGCACGTAAATTTATTATTAAGAAATGACGACTTAAGTGAGCAGATATTTAAAACATTAATTAGCATGTCATGAGGCGATTTAGAATGAGTCTGGTATTTAATACTTGTTACATAAATAATTAATCGTCTTGAGACAACCAGGCCGCCCCCGTACTGCGGGCCACCCTCATGACTCAGCCTAGTACTCGCTTCCATATTTTTCTCCATTTTTCTTCATTCTACTGTGTTAACCATCTGCACCATTGCGTGGAATATTCCAAGCCGCTCTCGAGGCACATCGATTTGTCTCGAGGAAGAAAATAGCCAGAGGTGTAGTAGAATAAAATTCACATCGAGATGATTCACGGCAGAGAATCATGACCTCAATGATCTTGTATTACACTGTCGTCCATTTCACCAGGAGACAGTGTACGTAGCAATAATAACACTTGTCAGTATGTTTAAAAGGAAGTCTGGAAAGAAAAGACATCATTAGTGGCTTGGAATATCATGTTGTAAGAAGCAAGTACTATGGCCGAGTCGGTGCAAACCCTAACCGTCACGTTAAAAAATAAAATTAAAATTAAAAAAAATACTAAATAAATAATATCTTTAAATTTTATACATTAATGTGTATAAATAAATGAAAAACTCGGCTCGTACAGCCGCCGCACTAAATCCATGA